TCAGTAATTTGAAACCTATTGTTGACCGGATACAAAATCTTTATACAGTTTGGGAGAGGATGAAATAAGTTAGTCCACTTACGAGTCTAATGTGACTCATAGTGACCTTCTGCAGGGTTTCCAAGACTATAAATCTTTACAGGAGCAGACAGCTTCTCCTCAGAGCAGCTGGTAGATTTGAACTGCTGACCTTGTGGTTAGCAGTTCAACGTCTAAGCCACAGTGCCAGCGGGGTTCCTTAAATGAATCCTAAGTGGTCCAAATGATTTCTTCCTCTTCCAAACAGTATAAAGATTTTGTACCCAGTCAACAATAGATTCCAACTTACTAAACCAATTCTACCTTGTCCCCCATAGTCCCTCCAATCTACCTCTCTGCTGCTAGCTACCTTATCTGACCAGAAGCTAGTTTTCTGAGCAAGTCCTGCAACAAATGTACACTGTTCTAAAATAATTGGAGAAGCCAAAATGCAACGCCTGTTGAAAATTGGCCTATTTGTGATAGCGAAAATAACAACTGGGCCATGCAATTCATTTTAGCTAAATGTGCTAATTAGACCCACATGGTTGTACTTGGCATGATTACACTGAGAGCAATCTGCACACCCGTTCAAATTCACACAACTCAAAATCAAGAACCTCCACTCCTATATATATATTGTTATTTGTGACGATTTGAACTCTACCCCCCCCACCTTAATCAATTACTCATTAATTTTAGTAGAGAGAGACTCCCAAGGAATACCAGTGAACAGCACTGTTAACCAATCACTTAAATAGCTCTCTCTCTCACATTTCCTTTTTCTGTATCTTCAGCACCGAAAACAGTTGCAATACCATGCCTCTAATATAAACCAGTTTCTTATGAGCTCCCCCGGTGTCCTGACGTGCAGAAAAACAGGCAGAGAGCTACTTGTTTCACTAGAGAAAGGCCCGAATACGTTGATACCTTACCTGAAGCACCTTTGGTTCCTTTCTGGCCCTTTAAACCATGCAAGCCGTTCAAGCCAGGAGATCCCAAGGAACCTGAAAGGCATCACAAGCCAGTGACCCAAATGAGAAAGGGCACCTTGGACACCCCCACCCAGCAGAGTGCACTGCTGGGAAAGATGGGCAGATCTTGAGCTATGGACATCCCTTGTGATCAGAGCTGGAGGCCAAGGCATGGTTATTTAGCACATTCACCTGAAGGAGGTTCTCTGTCAAGACACCTTAACATGTACTAGGGGGAACTCTCCCCCGCAAAAAAACCAGGAATTTTTTTTCTTTGAAGCTATGCATTTAAATGTTTCTACAAAACAACCTTATCACCTTCAAAGTACTCTCCATTAACTTAATACATTTGTCAAATCTATGATTCCATTCTTGGAAACATTTTTCAAACTCATCTGTTTGGATGGCTGACAGCACCTCCCTTGTTTTTTTATTTTATTTTAAGTAAATCATTTCATTAGGGGCTCTTAAACAATCAATCCATACATCAATTGTATCAAGCACCTTTGTACATATGTTGCCTTCATCATTTTCAAATTATTTTCTTTCTGTTTGAGCCCTTGGTATCAGCTCTTCTTTTTTTTTTACCTCCCTCCCCCACTCTCTAGCTCTCATGGACCCCCTGATAAATTATAAATTATTATTACTTTCCTATCTTATACCACCCACTGTTTCCCTTCATCCATGTTATTGTCGTTCATCCCCCTGGGGAGTAGGCTGGGGAACTGTGTGTCATTGTAGGTGGTCTCCTTTTCTCCCCACACCTTCCCCCTGCCATCATGGTATCCCTAGTCCCATTGCTGTTCCTGAGGGGTTTATCGTCGTGGATTCCGGGTGTCAAGAGCCCTTATCTGTACCAGTGTACATGCTCCAGTCTAGCCAGATTTACAAAGTAGAACTGGGGTCTGTGCATGCCTAAATTTATGCCTCTATAAATGTATTTTGCCTCCTAGTTATTTCCTCTATTTCTTTTTACTTTCCTCTTGTCCCACTATCATGTTCGACCTTCATTTGACTCTCAGTATTTTCTCTCGACTATATTGCACTTAATCAAACCCAATCAGGCATTCTAAACCCTCCTCACCATCGATGTTACATCTCTTATTGTTCCCTTAACTCTGGGTTTGTTGGCTCCCCCCTCCCTTTCTTCTACCTCCTCCTCTCCTATGTCTCCCCAGAGCCATTGGCCCTGTTGTTTTCACCTATATGAATAGACATGCTAACTTAATACTTAACATATAAATATATGTACATAGATATAGTTCCCTATTGTTATAGATAAATATATTCACATATGTACATGCCTGTATTTAGACCTCTATAAATGTCTTTTGCCTCCTAGTTCTTTCCTGTATTTCCTTTTACTTTCCTCTTGTCCCACTATCATGTTTGACTTTCATTTGGGTTTCAGTAATTCCTCTCGGCAACATTGCATTTGATCAAACCCTCAATGCAAGAACATGTTGTCTTCATTGAAGACAAAGTGGGTGCATAAGCAAATGTGGTGAAAAAAGGTGATGGTGCCCAGCTATCAAAAGATATAGCATCTGGGGTCTTAAAGGCTTGAAGACAAACAAGCAGCCATCTCGCTGAAGAGCAACCAAGCTCACATGCGAGAAGCACACCAGCCTGTGTGGTCATGAAGTATCAGTGGTGTCAGGTATCAGACATCAAAGACCCAGAACAAAAAATTATATCAATGTGAACATGGAGGAGGACAGTGAAGATCCAAAGCCCATCTGTAGACAATTGGAAATCCCCTCACAGAAGTGTCCCAAGGAAGAGACAAGCCAGTCAAGGTGCAGTATAGCACTGATGAAACATACAACTTTCCTCTAGTTCTTTAATGCTTCCTCCCCCCACTATCATGGCCCCAATTCTACCTTACAAATCTGGCTAGACCAGAGCATGTACACTGGTACAGATAAGAGCTCACAACACAGGGAATCCAAGACAGATAAACCCCTCAAGACCAAAAATGAAAGTAGTGATACTAGGAGGGAAGGGGAAGGTGGAAGAGGAAATGATCACAATGATTGATATATAACCCCCTCCCAGGGGGATGAGCAACAGAAAAGTGGGTGAAGGGGGATAGCAGTTGTAAGACATGATAAAAATAATAATTTATAAATTATCAAGGGTTCATGAGGCAGGGAGGAAGGGAGGGGGAGGGGGGAAATGAGCTGATACCAAGGGCTCAAGTAGAAAGAAAATGTTTTGAAAATGATGATGGCAACATATGTACAAATGCGTTTGACACATGGATGGATGCATGGATTGTGATAAGAGCTGTAAGAGCCCCCAATAAAATGATTTAAAAATTTTTAAAAAAGTTGTAAATCCTTCCAGAAGCGGATTGCTCTCTCTCATGGAGTTTGAGCTACTGATTTTTTAGTTAGCAGCCAAGTGCTTTCACCTCTGCACCATCACTTTCTGGACAGCACATACCCCACTTGTTGCTAGATTCATTCATGTCTAAGCGGGCTCTGGCTCTGTCATGATGAGTTGGAATTAGCTGGATAGCACTGGGTTTGGTGCTACTCAAGGACAAGCTGCGGGTCAAGTTTGGCTGCAGCTATTCTCCACGACGATTTCTTGATACCTTTTCACAGAAGCGAAATTATCTTCTGATGACCGCTGAAAACACTGCTCTCATGAACCATTATCCCACTGACACCAGTATGGTCCTTCGGAAGCTTCTATCAGACATCTCTGCAAGGATGTCTACCAGCCTGGCTTCACCTCTGTGATTGTCACTGAGCATTTCCAGTGGGAAATGGTTCAGACGGTGTTCCTTCAATAGACTCTGAGTGGAGTTTAATTTTTCCAAGTAAATTTTAACCAGGCATCTCCTTTCAAGTGAGCATGACCTAAATGTCCAGGACAAAATTGGGAAGGAGGACTGAGCAGAGGAGGGAGAAGGCAGGCAGGTACTTGTTATTCAGAAATCACACGCATCTTTCTGACTTGTTAATTTGGGGAACACGTCTTCTCTCCAGACCCTGGCTAAGCCAGCGAGCCTCTGGACTTCATCACTGGGTCTTCTATTCAGAAGCTGTTCTTTCTCAACCAAGATTGAGCACGCCTTGGGGCCACAGTCAGCTACTGTGTGATAGACGCTTCAGAAGAAAGGTGGTGGCATCAGTGGGATAATGCCAACTTAAAGAACCCAGTGTTCTCCCTCTGCTTAGGAGCATGGCCCTCTGCTTGAAATAGTGACACCCATGACTGAGCATGCAAACAGCACCTCTCTGCTGATACCTCTGTTGCATGTGCGCCAGGGCACTTCCCATGCTGTAATGAGGTCCTATCTGTAGGTGATTCTCCCTCCCATTCAAGGCCATGTCAACTGTGTACATTAGGTCCTAAGAGTCCTTCTAAGTCAGCACAGCATATTTCCTGACACACAGGAAGTGTCCAACAAACAGTCGTTAGGTGAGTGAGAGAGTGAGACAAAATATGAGACAGAGGGGGCAGAGGGATTGGATAGGTGGAGAGAAAGAGTTATAATGAAGAATAGATTAGAATTTCATTTTTCATATCAGAGCTTTATTTGATAGGTTTAGAGGAGGAATAAGACTTAGGGATATTATCCATTCATGTATAGATAATTCAAGTGCTAATTATCTGTTCATTAAAGCGAGCCCTCCATGAACTTCTTATTAGATAGAGACACAGTAAGTATTCAAGATAAATACAATCCTCCCAAAGTACTTATCATGAGTACTCAAAGCAGATCATTGCTATTCTTTTTGAAATCTAAACTCCAGATTTGTTTTAATGGGCCATACTGTCTTGCACCTAAAAAAAATGGAAACTCACCCTTCTTTTCTCTAAAGCTCTTATTTCCCAACCACTCCGAACAACTCTGGCTCAGCTTATATTTTCCAATCCTCTTTTCTATTCATGAGCTAACAGCCCCAAAAGAACACACAGACCTTCTTCCGCTGCCAAATCTGGATAGTTATTGCAATCTATCAGAAAGGACAATAAATTTCTTTGAGAACACTTTGCTATTCCAGCGTGTTTTGATCCCCAGCATGAGCCACCGAGATTGATGGCTTGATAGAGCTGGCTCAGGGTGGAAGGTCTCAGCTTCTGCCAAGCCTCCATTGTCACATGAACACATCCCGATCTTGTCCCAACCCAGCCCTGCACCATGGTGGAACTGGCCGACCGTCCCCTGACCCAATGTTATCTTCCTAAATTGAATGCAGCTCCATCTGGGTAAGGTTTGCACAGTACTTTGGGTCTTGTTATTGAGAACCTTCCTTGAAATCACCCCACCTCTAAGTTTGAAAATCATTCCTGCGTAGAGTCGTCTGTACAGTACAGATGAGGGTAATTAAGTTAACATGGCACATTCCTTGGAAGGGAGGACTTTTTAATTCATCCCCGTGGTCATCATCCTACTGAGTAGCCATCTTTGAAGGCTATGTCCCACTTTATTCCCTGGAGAGGGAGGCTCACTCTCATTCTTGTGAGTGGCCATGTCTCCACCCTCACTGTAACTGTGGTTAGCCAGTCATCTCTCGTATTAGCCAGCCAGCTAGGGGTGGTTGGAGACCACTCTGACAGGTTTTCTTTTGTCCTAAAGTTTGAGAATTCTACTCTGTCTCCCAGGAGTCTTTACGCAGGCTTATCTTTTTAATAAGGTGCCCAACTGGTCCCTATTTGCCTTGACTGTCTTAGTCTTTTTGTTGTTGTTGCTGTTAAGTGCCATCGAACCAGCCCACAGTGAACTGAGCACAACAGAAGGGAGTACTTAAATGTTTTGAAAATGATGATGGCAACAAATGTACAAATGTGCTTGACACAATGGATGGATGGAAGGATTGTGATAAGAGTTGTACGAGCCCCCAATCAAATAATTTAAAAAAAAAAAAAGCATCAATATAGAAAAGAGGAAGAGGAAGAGGAAGGGGAAGGGGATACTGTCCGGTTCTGAGCCATCCTCACAAGTGTTGCCTCCACTGTATCAATAAGGGCCTTTCTATTTTTCGCTACCCTTCTACCAAACATGATGTCCTTCT